TTTGTGCACTCGGAGTATCAGTGGAAAACATGTGCATCATGATTTAGTGCTGAAGATATCAATACCGCTAGAAGTAGTCGCTATTTTTCTATACTAAATTTGCGTTGAGAAAATGTCTGAAATAAATTCTCAAATACACGTACAAATTTCATGTGCTTGATAAATGCCTAAAACTGCCTTGTCATTAGGGGAAAAAGACACGACTTCTGTTTCTTTAAGAAAGACTTTCAAATAGGTAAAAACAATTTCATGAAATAGACAAAGAGTGCAAAACCAATTGTTACAACAACCAGATAGAATAATGCTGCTATGGAATCAGTGGTTTAGGTACAATGTAAAAGAGAATAACACTGTTTCTCAGATAGTGTTTACTGAACTATCATTTCAAACAGTAGAGACCAACATTTTAACAACTGTTCAACATTCAAGAATTCAAATGCTAACATCGAAACAAAATTGAGGTTGTAAATTATCAAAGAAATACCTTAAATGAGATTAAATACATCCAGCTAATTTATGTCAATGCCTCATCTACATTAATGAAAGCAAAACTGTGTGTACTATTTTGAAGCAAGACAAAGTAGTACTTACAGCTGCCAATATTGTCAATCATCTTTTATGTGGACACTTGCAAACACCATTCTAACACAACCGTTTGTAAAATGTACAGAGGAAAAATTAATATATTTGATATACCCTCTTTAAGAGAAGTAGTAAAACCGGCTAAGGCTATCATATTTCAAATTACAGAATAACATTGGCTTGCAACTTAACGTAACAACATGAAAGAACAATCTTAACAGTTGGAACACACCATTGTATATATACACTTTATAAGTGTCATAAGATTATAAAAACCTTGAACTCACTCAAATGAACAATTTGCCAATCTATGAAACATATTTTCCCAGACTCAAATCGGCTTAGATTACAACCATGTATAACAATTTAAATAAAGAAATTGCCATTATACCTATGGTTGTATCAGATACATATCAATATGTTCCTCATTCATGTCATTAAACAGTACTTATGATGATTAGGTGTATATTATACATACAGTTGAACAATCATCAAATATTGAATGCTTTGTTATCACAGACATTCCAACGATCCCAAAATAAGCATGTGTTTCTTCAATCTGATTAAAATCATATGTTACATGGCTTCGTTTACTTCGTACTTCACTTGAACATCTGAGTGTGCCGCGGTCAGGGTCACGTTCAGGTGACCTTTATATTTATAAATACTCATTAAATTTTGACCAATCAGAGATCCTCTTTCAACAGGGCGCTTGGGGTTGTAACAAATACGGCGGACATTGATGAGAATGATGCGAAAGTTCTGAAGTTGTTTGAGATTGATCGTCTGAAACCCAAACAGAAAAAGATATTCAAAGCTTTATTAGAGAAGAAAGACTGTATGGCAGTGTTGCCTACGCAATTATTACCCAATGGGTACGTTTTCCTTGGCGTCGTCGAAACGTCAGTTCCCGCCGCCATATTTGTTTCGGAAAACTAATATGTTTGATACCCCTCGCTATTTATCTATCAACCATGATATTCCGATACGCTGACAAACTTTTGGCAGCGCGCCTCTGATTGGTTCATCTAAAGGTCACTTGAACGTGACACTGACCGCGGCACATTCAGATGCTCAGGCGGAGCCATGTAACAGATGATTTTAATCAGATTGGTGTTTCTTTGTTTTCATATCTGTACAGGATGTTTAAGACTTTCTTCAGGTTTTAAATATTGACTGTTGATAAAAAGGTTCACATGATCACATCATATCCCTTTCAGCATCATCTTTTCATGGGCACAATGTTGCACCTGTAAAATAAATTGAAACATGTAAGTCTGACAACCAAAACATCCTTAATAGATGTCCTTAGTTTCCTGGGGCTTATAGTTTCAGTCAGGTTAGTTGTGAATTCATATATCTCTCCAAATAGTATTAATTTTTCCTTCCACGAATTTGAACCGACACAATAAATCAAGCATTAAAATATGTCAAACATCACCAATAAGTCAGAAAATAATCCCAACTAATGTACATCTTTAAATGTTAAGACACTGAAGATTGTTTCTTGCCCTTTCAAACTGACCTGAAGATTGAATTCTAATAGTGGTCAAAATAACAACAAATAGACTATCATGATTATTGTATAAGTTATACATTAATCATGATAGTCACACCATCTTTCTGAAATAATGGAAAACATTAAAGGAATGAACTTCATTTTTCTTATTTATCTCCAAGTCATAAAGACTCACCCTAGTAATCCACGGCCACTCCAAGTTTTCGGCGTCAAATTTAAATGTGTATCTTTGTTGTTTCTTCTTACGATTACTTTCAATGGATTCTAAAAAATATCAAAACACACATTTTACCATTGAAAATTTTTGATATCAGAAATACAGTATTTATATCACATCACTTCTCTGTTAAAATTTTAAGACACTCATAGGAATAAATTGATAAAATTATTTATTTATTTCCGGGTTTATATTTCTCTTTCATTTTTATTAACTTTTTTGATAATGGGAGTCAAATCCATTTAATTTGAAACCTCAGATTAAAAACACAAGTTAAATAATGAGTTCTTTCAAATCGGAGAGTCAAATTTTATTTTACAAACAGTTTCAAAGGTCAAAGGAATGCCCTGATCAATACCAGCTAATAGTTTCCAGCTACACTTTAAATGGTTTCACCTTCACTTGACACAGATTTCACTGCATTTACAGTACTCTGGTTTTCTAACTTATTTCAGATGTAACACATCATTTTATTTGTCGATCAAAATAATTTGCAACAGTATAACCATGATATACCATCTGCAAATTTCTCATTTGCATATGAAGCCCAGATGACGATTGTTAATGACGTTATAACCACGATTGATCCTGACACGTCATGAAATTGATTACTAATGATGCCACAAACAATAGCATGATCCCGAAAGGTCAATGTAATTTTGCCTGACGTCACCAATCCACAGCAGAGTGAACCAGGATTTGAAGAAAATACTCAAAAATATCTTAAAATTGTCGTTTCTTTTGGTGGTTTTGGCTTTCATGAATTAGGATGTGGATAACCCTACTGTGTTATAAAACAGTATAATCATGATATTCTGTTGCAAATAATATACAGCAGGGATATCCCCAAAGTATTGGGCTGTTATTATTACAGATAAATGACACATGCATTTCTTTTAAAGCGTTCTCTTCCACTTCTTAAATACATATAATATGTATTGTATACTGATTTTTACAGCACAACCATTGAAATGTTTATGTGTGATGATTTAACACCCAAGTGAACGTTACTTTACAGGTCATTGTTCTAATGAAAGTGACAGAGTATATGGGAAAGTCACTGCTGAAACACCAGAAGACATATCATTATACAACCCCGGCAGATGTAATGGGGACGTAAATATTAATTACATAGCATTTTACATAATACTTTTAATTTGACTGTCTTGATACAATATTAACTCATTCACCCCTGAAATTTCATAATGAACTATTCGAACCTATGAGTTGAAAGAGTTCAAATGTGTCTCCAGGGGTGAGTGAGTTAAAAAAAACAGTGTGGAGAACAGTAACTAAGTGTTCCCTACATAAAAACCTAACTTACATCTTTACTGTGCTGGACCACTGATGCGATGTTCAGCAGTGACTGGAATTTACTTGCAGTGATGGAACCAAATTGTACAATGGAATCTCCAACCTTCAAGCCCTGTAAAAATGATACCTGAATGTATAACAATGGAAAGCAGACCTGTTGTTTGTAACCCCGACAGGCGAGGAAGGTCACATGGGCGTTACATATACAAACGTACATGTATATTGATTATAATACAGTATACACATAAATGTAGGAAATTGCATCAAAGCTAAAAATAATGATTAAATACCAGTAAGATATATGAAATGTTAAGAAATTTAGGTTATACACAATCAGAGAAGTGAATTTGACAACTATGTCTTTTTTATCATTGATAAATTAATGTGTTGACAAGTACCAGTATATGACAGGAGATCACTCTCCCTTCCTCACTGATATTGTGTGGAACTCCTTTATTTTGAATAAATTGGGGCTACTTCATTTGTCAGGAAGCCGCCATTTTCTGTGCCTCCATGGATTAAGACGTTTGTCCCCTTCCTTTTGTTGTATAAACAGACATAATGGACTCCAGTTATGTTCCATGTTTCATCATGTTGTTCTAAACGCTAATTTATACAGTCAAGAGTTTACATATCTGAGAAAGGTAGAGATGTAAATATTAGATAATATCAACCTTTAAAGAAATCTTTACAACACTCACTGCCTCAGATGCTGGGGAGCCCTCATCAACTCTGTCAACTTCAGTAAAGGGAGACAACCTCTCCGCCAAGGAATGCGACTGTACAGATTGATCATCATCAGTGTCCATGGCTTCACCTTTCTGCTTGCGAGCTTCAGCGTGGATTTTATATAACTCTTCTTCAATCTCTGTCATTAACACTTTATGATCATTCTGTAAACCTATTTAGAACACAAACAGGTGGAAAATGAAAGGTATACAACATTAATTTTTATCATTTCTCTTTAAAAGACCAGGCTGCACGATCATCTCAAAATCATTAAACTTGACCACAGTACACCCATTGCAGTGGTTTTAAAAATTTATTATTTCATTCTTTCTAAAATAATTTGGATGACTTAAATTATACCAAGTTAAATAACTTCAAAAATATAAATAAATTGCTTGGATATCCTTAAGAATATTTTTATTTAAAAAGGTCTAATATATCAATCCTAACACATATCATAAAATTCTCTTCAGAAATACTCTTGTATTCATACAACAAAGGGTCCTAACCCATTGCTACTTTTGAGTTTGAATAATCACATGAGACCTTGTTTATCTACTGAAGTTATCAATTACTTGGAAAGATAATGAGTTGTCTTTAAACTGTGCCCAAAGAAAAGTAATGGTATTGTAACTCATTGTATTATTTAATGCCCAGCCTGAATGATAGTAGAGAGGTCTTTATAGAGAAAATTGTGGACTGTATCGATGTGCGCTCCTATGTTGCTTTTTCGTTCTTGGAAGAGACTGATCAAGCCAATTTTCTTCTTGGAGATCGAACTAACGTGACTTTACAGGATGATGAATGGGAAGAACTAATGGTAACAGTTGCCAAAGACATCAAGCTGCTCTTGGAAAATACGAACTCTGCTCTAAAAAGCTTATGTTAATTTGTTGAATTTTATTTTAAATGTTAATAATCTCTTATGTAACAGGAAATAAAGAATGACTGTCCGTCTGTCTATGAATTGATAAATTATACAATAAAAAAATAAAAATGTTTCTTTTTTATGGGAAGAAACGTGAAACAAAACTGTTACAGGGCTAGCATACACCATTAGTTACAAAGCACCTTACCACAATACACTGACCAAAAAATCAGTGCACTACCAATTATTGAGAACACATTGACTTTTTGCAGATAATAAAGTTTGACAATAATGTCATTTCAGATATTTGCTTCCACAACAAAATAGGTTTATAACCTTCAATATGGCAATAAGATTGGAAGGGATACATGAATATTTCGGATCAATTTCTGCTTCTGTTAAACTTACAGATGACCTGATGTCTGGAATGTCTGACCGAGTAAACATCAATGTCTGCCCGTGGGAAACCCTCCTCGTCAACCAGTGGCTCCTTCAGACCAACGCCTTGTTGCTGCAGAAGAAATGTGATAACTAGATTGAACATAGCAAAATCCAAACAATGATCACAAGAATTCAAAATTCAGTTAATTTTGGAAACATGTTATCTCAAAACAAGAGGCCCAATGGGCCTGAATCACCCACCTGGTATTAATCTCACACTTGTAAACCTAAAAGTGGACTAAAATACAGATACAGGCAGAATATCAGTGTTTGATTTATAAGAGGCCTATTAAAGGATTTAAACATATGACGCCTGTGACCTTGAATGTTGAACAAGGACCTTAGGTTGAACAGATTTTGGTCTTCCAACCCAGCATACTTTTGCCCTGAACCCTTTGGTTGTACAGAACAAGTCATTTAAAGACTTAAACATATATTCACCACTGTGACCTTGAATATGGGCGAAGGTCATTCATTTTAACAAACTTGGTAGTCCTTCATCCCAGCCTGTTAATGACCAAATATCATCACCTTGGCCTTTTGCTAATTGAGAAGAAGTTGTTTAAAGGTTTTAAACATATTTGACCCATGTGACCTTGAATATATGTCAAGGTCATTCATTTGAACAACTTTGATTGCCCTTTATCCCAGCATGTTACTCGCCAAATATCATTATTCTAGGCCCCTTGGTTATTCAGAAGCAGTTTAAAGGTTTAAAACATATTTGACCCATATGACCTTGAAAGGGGGTCAAGGTCATTCATTTGAACAAACTTGTCAGCCCTTCATCCCAGCATGCTACTGGCCAAATAGCATCATCCTAAGAATTTCGGTCATTGAAAAGAAGTTGTATAAAGGTTTTAAACATGTTTCACCATTTTGACCTTGAACATTTGTCAAGGTCATTCATTTGAACAAAAATGGTAGCCCTTCATCACAGCATACTATTGACCAAATAGCATCATCCTATGCCTTTTGGTTATTCAGAAGAAGATGTTTAAAGGTTTTGTACATATTTGACCCCTGTGAACTTGAAAATAAGTAAAGGTCATTCATTTGTACAAACTTGGTAGCCCTTTGTCCTAGCATGTTACTGGCCAAATATCATTATCCTAGGCCTCTTAGTGATTCAGAAGAAGTTGTTTAAAGATTTTTTAAGACAATTGACCACTGTGACCTTGAAAATGGACGAAGGTCATTCATTTTAACAAACTTGGTAACCCTTTACGTCAGTATGCTACTGGCTATATATCTTAACATTTGACCCATGTGACCTTGAAAGTTGGTCTAGGTCATTCATTTGAACAAACTTGGTAGCCCTTCATCACAGCATGCTATAGGCCCAATATCAGTACCCTGGGCCTTTTGGTTATTGAGAAGAAGTTGTATGAAGATTTTACGACATTTGACCCATGTGACCTTGAAAGTTGGTCTAGGTCATTCATTTGAACAAACTTGGTAGCCCTTCATCACAGCATGATACAGGCCCAATTGATATTAGTACCCTGGGGCTTTTGGTTATTTAGAAGAAGTTTTTTGAAGATTTTAAGACTTTTAACCTGTGTGACCTCGAAAAGTGGGTCAAGGTCAGTTATTTGAACAAACTTGGTAGCCCTTCATCCCAGCATGCCACTGGCCAAATATCATCACCCTAGGCCTTTTGGTTATTGAGAAGAAGTTGTTTAAAGTAAAATATTGATGCCGGACGCTGGACGACGCACCACGGCATAATTAAGCTCACTTGGCCCCTTCGGGCCAGGTGAGCTAATAAAAACTGTACTGGATCATTAATGCGTCAATGTGACTGACAAAATATTTCAATATTTGTGCAAAGATAAAACTTGAAATGCTACCACCAATATGTCCAATATTCTCCAAAACCACTGACAATACCTCAACTAGTGTGTTTGAAGATAAAGCACTAAATTAACATCATTCTGTATGTAAATGTACATATATTTGTGTGTGTCACAATTGATTTACATGTGTATAGCGGAACTGGACTGGGTCAATCGCCGGAGACCAGGTAGTTCAATTGGTTAGAGCAGTTGTCTAGAGTTCTTAGGGTCTGCAGTACGAACCCCATTCTGGCTGTGCATTTTTTCCGCTTCTGTTACACATGTAATTGTATAACAATATTTAAAAGACATGTCAAGAAGTCAAAAAATCAGTAAGGCTTATAGGTCATTAGGAGCATGCCATTAACTGCTTTAGAATAATTAACTGAACTATTGTAAATTGTACAAATATAAAATTTGAGGTAACATATATAGAAGTGGATGTTATGCATCGTTATTGGTAGTCATAAGTATGCTGGACACTACACAAGGATATTTTAGATGTTTATAAGCCATCGTCTGTAAACTGACACAAAAATTACCGGAAGTTCATCCGGAAAACATAAGAACTAATCACTGATTAAAAACACGCATAAATATACAGTTTTGCTTAATGCTCTTTTTTTTCCCTCAAAATGAACCCATACCTGAAAAACAGTGATATATTTCATTCATTAACCGGTCTATTTTGTAGACTGACAAATGTACAGAATATAATGAGACATAATTCACCATTAACCAAAACCTATATAAAGACTGCACAAAAAAAAAAAATAACATATATTTTATTATAACTAAATAAATTAAATAAATAAATTTATAAAATTTCATGAATGCATTCAAGTTGACATAAAAAATCAATAGAAAATCATGTTGTTGTTTTTTAAATTGATTTGATAATTAATTTGACGATCGAAGAATTTTTTTTCAGGGCACTGTGGAGAAATTCTTTTTAGTGTATTCGAGTTATCTTTCTTTGAACACTAAAATCAAAATAGACACACGGAAACATATGACGGCTATCTCCGATAGGAGAAATTGGTTAAAAAATGTTTGTTCTGATCTTTAAAAAAAAACAGTTTTAAGTTGCTAGTTTTTTTGTTTCTATGAGAAGATAGTATTCATGTTTATGACAGTAACCCGTAATTTCAACAGTTTTCTGCCGATATGAGTACGAAATATCGACTGCTACGTAGTGCGCGGAAACCGATAACGCGAGGATATATTATTCACATTTACATTTCAGTGTTGTTTTTTTAGTCTAGCTTCAAACAGTCAAACACCAACATATATTTAAGTATCACGCTCTTTGGGTGCGGAAATATGCAACTATAGAAATGAAGACTGGAGAGTAGAATCCCTTGTGGTAACGAAACATTACATTGTACTACTACATACGTTGTAGTAATGACCACCTTCATCTAATTGAAGAGTTTCGTTTGTCATCCTTGCGTGACATTTATACCAAATCGTAATTTTCACGTTTGCTTTACAAACAGTTGTTAAACACCTACTGAATCAAGGACATCATTCAATGCTTTGATTTCAGCTTCAAGATCAGTTTTCCTTTTCATCAAACGATTCATATTTTCCATGGAGGCCGCCATCTTTAATAATGATAATAGCCGGACTAGAGCTGGACACAAAAATGCGGATTCGAGCATCAAATCTTGGCTCGACACACTCGCGTAAAGCTAGCATTTATATATTCACCCTGATGATAAATATCCTTTTGAAACGATAAAATTCATTTTGTCTGTTAAAGTACCAGTGCTAATCACACAGTCTGATATTAAAGAAACTGTTTAGTAACAGTTATATTTAATTTAAAGAAGGTGTGAAGAATTAACGTTCTTGTAAACAAAAAAGGAGATAAACAAATACGTTTTGATGGGTTGGAGTGCGGTTGCTTGTCTTGCAACACTTTATTAATAGTAAATTTTCAAATATAATAAGGTATGATGATTGCTTACAGAAGATAAACAGTGGCGAGCATCAGTGAAACCCCTGTCGTGAGCCCCACTTTGTGCACAAGCCGCAAAAGTTAGGCATTTCAGCAGAACAAATTTTCCTACAGTTCGGCAATCAACTGAACACAATCTAAGTACGTCTTGAAATCAGAATGAAAATACATTTTAACTAAAAAGTTGTACAATTTCATCATTAATTGCATTCACAAAACATCACAACACGTGACAAAAATTGAGAACTGGGTTTAATTTTTCAACTTATTATGTTTATTTTGCAAGCTTGAATTTCATTAAAGATAGTTTTATGTGTAACTGAAGAACAAAATAATTCTTAAACAAGCGTATATGTTTCGGTAAAATATATCTTTTCCAACTGACATCATGATTTCTTTAACATAACGGGGGAAAAACTATAAAAAATGTTAAAAAAATAATCATCATAACACACAAAACCATTTTGTATCAGCTAGAGAAAGGAGAAGTGTATGGGGTGTGGGGTGAAGATGGGTGAGGCGGGGGGTTAAAAAGACATATTTAAGTCGGAATATACTCGTAGATATAGATTCTTTATCATATACTAGTAACTGATAATATAGTAGTCAGTTTTATACTAGTAATTAATAACTTTTTAAAATTAAAAATAAAAATACTGTTTAAACCATGTAAACGGAGATAAGACATTGATTTTATTAATCATGATATTCATTGATTTAAGAAAGAAATATCCAACCGATTTTCAAAAATCAGATCATTTTATTCTACTGCCGGGCCGGGTCACGATACATATAGCCTTTAAATACACGCTACGTATATGATACACTATACATTTAACATACCCGTTACATTACACACACACTATAAACGCACGAAGCATACACAATACAGACATGAACATACACAAACATACACTATACATACACAATACAGACATGAACATACACTTAATTACACGCTATGCTATCTACATTTGGGTACTTACACGATACATATAACTACACATATGAAGCATTCATTATACAAATAAGTAACATACAATATGAACGTGGAATACACATTATATACACGGGCATTTAATTACACGTTATGTACACGACACATACACGCAACATACACATACATACACGATCGATACACGTGAATAACTTTACACACACGATTTATACATAAAATGCAAGATACAAACAAGATCACGGTATGCACGATGCAAATATTTCGATGCACATGTAAGTTACATACATGGTACACATGCTATAATTCATTAAACATACACGTTACATACACAAACATACACTATACATACACAAACATACACTTTACATACACATACACGCCACATCAGCAAACAAGATATAAAAAACGTTACACTCGCGTTACATTAAATTAAATAAATTGCAAAGGAACATTGAATCGGAAACGTAAAGGTTATATAAACTTATTTGTGTCATAAATAAACCGAAGCTTGGAATGTTTTGTTTGTTTCCCATATCTATCTCCCTTTGATAAATTTGAGGAAATAGATATCGTTATAATGAGAATAAAAATCCTTATAAGTAACGTTGGGGTTTTATACCAATTGGACTCGGTGTTTGAGGCCAACAACACGTGTGTAGGACTTTTAAACATATTGCATGCCGAGATATTTCCTCGTGATTGCTGAGTATTTTTTTATTTAACGGGAGGCGTTAACGTTACAGAGAACCACCACATCTAGCAGAATAAAGACGCCCTGGCGTGGGAAACACTTATATATGGAGAGCTAAAAGGGAAGCTCGTACCTTCTGAAGCAGGCAGAAATTTATGGAACATTTGAGAATTTTAGCTCACAAATATTCTCTAAGTCTATGTTCAGATTAGTTTTTGAACTCTTGCAATTCATTATTTTTGCAGTTCATTATTTTAGACGATTTCAATAAAAATCGATTTTATATATATATTTGTTCAATCGTTCAATACTGTTGTATTTTATCAAGTGTAGCGAAGTTTGGTCACAAGTTAATTCTATGCACAATGTGGCAACTACCTGTATGTTCTCAAACAATTTGTTAACATAACCAGCAGATAGTAGGCAATGTTTATAGGTTTTAGTCGAAGGCATGTGGTGTTCTATAAATGTTTGTGTATGTATAGTGTATGTGTGTGTATGTATAGTGTATGTTTATGTATGTATAGTGTATGTGTGTATATGTATAGTGTATGTTTGTGTATGTATAGTGTATGTTTATGTATGTATAGTGTATGTTTGTGTATGTATAGTGTATGTATAGTGTATGTTTGTTTATGTATAGTGTTTGTTTGTGTTTGTATAGTGTATGCTTGTGTATGTTTGTGTATGTTTGGGTATGTTTGTGAATGTATAGTGTGTGTTTGTGTATGCATAGTGTATGCTTGTGTATGTATAGTGTATGTTTATGTATGTATTGTGTATGTGTGTATATGTATAGTGTATTTTTGTGTATGTATAGTGTATGGTTGTTTATGTAAAGTGTATGTTTGTATGTATAGTGTATACTTATGTTTGTATAGTGTATGTTTGTGCATGTTTGTGTATGTTTGTGAATGTAAAGGGTATGTTTGTGTATGTTTGTGTATGTTTGTGTATGTATAGTGTATACTTATGTATGTATAGTGTATGTTTGTGTATGTATAGTGTATGTTTATGTATGTATAGTGTATGTGTGTGTATGTATAGTGTATGTTTGTGTATGTTTGTGAATGCATAGTGTATGTTTGTGTATGTATAAAGTGTATTTTTGTGTATGTTTGTGTATGTTTGTGTATGTATATTGTATGTTTGTGTATGTATAGTGTATGTTTGTGTATGTTCATGTCTGTATTGTGTATGTATAGTGTATGTTTGTGTATGTAAAGTGTATGTTTGTGTATGTATAGTGTATGTTTGTGTATGTAAAGTGTATGCTTATGTATGTATATTGTATGTTTGTGTATGTATAGTGTATGTTTGTTTATGTATAGTGTATGTTTGTGTATGTTTGTGTATGTTTGTGTATGTAAAGTGTATGCTTATGTATGTATAGTGTATGTTTGTGTATGTATAGTGTATGTTTATGTATGTATAGTGTATGTGTGTGTATGTATAGTGTATGTTTGTGTATGTAAAGTGTATGCTTATGTATGTATATTGTATGTTTGTGTATGTATAGTGTATGTTTGTGTATGCATAGTGTATGTTTGTGTATGTATAAAGGGTATGTTTGTGTATGTTTGTGTATGTTTGTGTATGTAAACTGTATGCTTATGTATGTATAGTGTATGTTTGTGTATGTATAGGGTATGTTTGTGTATGTATAGTGTATGTTTGTTTATGTTTGTGTATGTTTGTGTATGTATAGTGTATGTTTGTGTTTGTAAAGTGTATGTTTGTGTATGTATAGTGTATGTTCGTGAATGTATAGTGTATGTTTGTGTATGCATAGTGTATGTTTGTGTATGTATAAAGAGTATGTTTGTGTATGTTTGTGTATGTTTGTGTATGTTTGTGTATGTTTAGTGTATGTTTGTGTATGTATAGTGTATGTATAGGGTATGTTTGTGTATGTATAGTGTATGTTTGTGTATGCTTATGTATGTATAGTGTATGTTTGTGTATGTATAGTGTATGCTTGTGTATGTATAGTGTATAAGTGGAAGGATACATAAGCATTTTTAGATACTTTGGTTTTTCGCTGCATGTAGTTAAAGTTATCAATCAACTGAATATTACTTTCCTTCAGTTATGATCTGAAACCAAAGGGAAATTTTTTATTTTTGGATTTAACGTAAAACAGTAGTTTGGCTGCCTCTGACCTGAACGGATACGGGGCGGCGCTGTTTCAATCAGCTGATTGTGAAGTGGGCGACATGAGAGGCACAATTAGGGCAATCGTATATTGACGTCTACACCAACAGGGACATGGTAATATTATTTACACATTTTAAAGGATAATCCTATTGAAATTGACTTAAATCTATTGTTGCTGTATGCTTAATATGTGTATCTTTTTCATGGGCAGTACAAAAAGAGCAAAACAATCATCTAAATAACGTTTATAAGAAATAGTGTTTTGGAAACTTTTGAAACTTTGACCTCTGTTGAGGGGTTCTTTATTTTTATGTGAAGCGTTGACCTGCTATGCATGTCCTCCTATCCATCTATACTTACACCATGCATGTCCTCCCATCCATCTATACTTACACCATGCATGTCCTCCTATCCCTCTATACTTACACCTTGCATGTCCTCCTATCCATCTATACTTACACCACGTATGTCCTCCTGTCCATCTATCCTTACACCATGCATGTCCTCCTATCCATCTATACTTACACCACGCATGTCCTCCTATCCATCTATACTTACACCATGCATGTCCTCCTATCCATCTATACTTACACCA